TTTTACTATATACTAAACTTTTGTACTTTTCCTATAAGCCCAGACATTTTCAACAATTTCACCTAGCTTTCGCTTTATCTGATTTTGCTAATATTGTATGCATGCCCTAAATTTAGTTGAATCTTATCAAAGCCTATCGTAAAATGTTCTATTTTCGGGTTGATATCAAACGCTATAGATTGGAATATAGCCGAAAAATGGCGGCACGTGAAGTGCTACTGTTAATTGCCTACCTATTGCCTATTTAGGTACATATGAACTTTGCACCTCATTTCATGAGCGCAATAAAATTTTCTAAAAATATTTATTTTTTTATCGGCGATCAGTTATCTTGATTGCCTCTTAATAATTTACCATCAATTGTAGGACTGTTACTCTATGCTGCAAAGATACTACTAAGTAAGTACTTTGGTATATATGAACATGAAACCAATGAACCAATGAAACCAATGAATGGAGGCTACCGCGGATTTACTATGCATAAAATCGCATCAGGCAGACACTTTAGAGAAGAATCTGGAAACTCAAATCGGAACACTATAGAAAAATTAGCAGCAAAAAAATTTAGCTTCAGCTCATAAGGTTAAACTGACTTCAAATATGTTTAAGTATATATTTATATTCCTAATGTGATTTTTAGTAGCCATCGTCCGTTCTTAAGCATTACCGGATATCAAAGATATCAAAATATTGAACAGTACTGTAACTAAGGAAACAATTTGTAAACAACAAGTGAGCAAATTATGGCAAAAAAATATTTCTTGTCATTTTAAGAGCGTAGCTAAAACCAAAACATTTGTTATTATTAACTAGAAAAAGTAAGTAAGGCCGGCAGGCCTGAGAAGCCTCACATAGATTGACCACTTTCAAAGATTTACTAGTTTAATATACGACCATTGAAGCCTAATATTTTGCACTGTAGCCTCCGTTAAAGATCAAAAATGTACAGATTTCACGATGGGCGGTACTGCCATATCAGATCGATCACCGCAAACCCGGCCAGGAACTATAACCTTATGGCATACACAAATATCAAACTTTTCGAGATTAACTCTTTTTTGCTCCTTTGCCGAAAGCCAATGCCAAACAGTTTGTTTTCAAAATTATTCAGCCATATTATTTTTCAAACCACAAAACGTCTCCATGAACAGTAATGTATATGATTTTTTCTAATTATGGCCGGCGACCCTTCACCACAGGGACGAAGGAGGTATCAATTTCTAAAGAAATGAAAATGCAACTGATATGCAAAAAAAAAAATTTAGTACAAGATGTTCGAGTTAAGCCAAAATCCCTTGCGTGATCCCGCCCGCTGTGAACTAAAGTACTTAAAAAAGCAACAGAATTTGTCGGTTTATATTTCATAGAAAGAGTTCATTGTACTTTTAGGAATTGCAAATTTATTTTTATACAAACACATACATACATACATGAACAGATAATTTTGTGTGTAATCATATTTGCATGTCTTTTGCTTGCTATTTTTGCGCGCCGCCAGTTACTGAGCGCTATGCCAATGCACTGACAGCCGCCAGCATCAGCGGCTAAGCGTTGTGAGCATTTACTAAGCTAAGCGTTCATATAAATATGTGTATGTCTGTAGGTATGTAGCTATATGCGGCTAAATGCAACTCGGGATAATCTTAGCTGCTTATCACTTAAACACATTAGGAGTATTCTCACAGACTTGCAAAGCCCTTGCACGGTATACGGATGGTACGGTTTGCAAAGCTGTCCCATGGGAAAACCAGTTTTATCNTATGCGGCTAAATGCAACTCGGGATAATCTTAGCTGCTTATCACTTAAACACATTAGGAGCATTCTCACAGACTTGCAAAGCCCTTGCACGGTGTACGGATGGTACGGTTTGCAAAGCTGTCCCATGGGAAAACCAGTTTTATCGCTTAATGAAATTATTTAATTTTTGAATTTATTAAATTTAATAAAAATTAAATTTTAATAAACTTGTTGTACACGAAGTAATAGATATTTAGTCGGAGCTCATAAAATTACAAAAAATATTGAATTTGCAAAGTGATTAGATATGCAAATCGCATTAGTGTATTAGCACTACACTTTTAGCAAATATACATGCCAAGTATTTGAATAAATTATGCGCCAGAAGTGTGTATACATACATTTTAAATTTATTTACAGATTCGTAGATATTTTGGGCGAACGAACTTAAAATGTTTACTCTCAGCTGTGCTAAAATTGTAGGTCACTGCACTTGGCGTGAAGTAAATGGGCAAACAGATTCTTTAAACAAACATTAAAAAGTAAAAAAAAAACACAGTACATACTGCACTAAATTATTAGCAGAAGGAATTTTTCTTAACATATGCAAAATTTTTTATTTAAATTTTTCCGCTAAATTTTTATAAAAACATTGTTCATAATACAACAAAACACATAAAAATAAAATATCTAAATTTTGTGCAAAACTCAGAAAAATCAAAAGTTTGCAACTGTTTTATTAGATTTTCTACAAAAATTTTAAGTAAGTTTTATAGCCCATTAAATTTTAGTATAACAAAGTGCAAGTTTAAAGTTGATAAAAAAGCGCGCTAATTTTTGAAAAGTTTTTTTTCACGTAGTTTCTTCCTAACAAAAAAATTAAATTGGCGAACATACAAACTGCGTGAAACAAATTGCCAAAAATCAACGCGATTTGTTATCAACTTCAAACCTGCTTTTTGAATTAAATGGTCTGTAAAACTGCATACTTAAAATTTTTGTAGAAAATCTGATTAAAAATTTGCAACCTTGCATGCAAAATTATGAAAATTTCCCAAGTTTTGCATAAAGTTGAGAGAATAATTTATATTTTTTTTAGTATGAACTATATTTTTATAAAAATTAGTGGAAAAAATTAAAACAAAAATTTTGCATATAATGTGAAATGTTCCGTGTGTCTGTAATTTAGTGCGGCACGTATGTATACATATTTATTTTTATAAATGCATACATAGCTAAATTTGAGCTCAGTCAATGGCCAGACATACTTCTTATCTAATTGCTAAAGACTGACGTGCGCTTGTAAATGTTTACATTTAATATTCATTGTGCAACATTTGACCTTTTTGTTTAATTTTAAATGTGGTGCAACGTCATATATTTTTTGTTTTTACTTTTTGTCTCTTACGAGAATTCCTCGCATCAGCTTCATTTGCTTGCGCATTTGCTCATCATTGAAGTTAAGTTCGTATTATAATTAATGCAAGTATTTATAACGTATGCGGTGGCCATAAAATATGCTAATTTATTTTTAGAATAGCCGGCTGGCCTCATCAATGCATTTCATGTGTATAAATAAGTTATCTCCTAATTCGAAAATTTGTTTATTTTTGCTGCGGCGTCAGAAGGAAATCGTTGACTTAATTTCTTATGCAGCTCTATGCAAGCTAATGGTGGAATTTTTAATTTTTTGTAGATTTGTAAATGTAAATGAATTAACTTTATCATCATAAAAAAAACGAAGCAGAAGGATTTTGTAATAAAGAGGATGCTAATTCAGTCATATCTTGAAAGCGCTCGAAAATGGGCTCGAAGAGGCATATGTACGGCTGTGTCTATGAAAATAATAAGTAACCGCCTGATAAAGTTACGGATCAAATTTAACAAATCAAATCTAAGACGCTGCAAAGTCGAGAGCAGGCGGCAGAACGAGTATATAACGAATGGCGTCTAGTGGCGACTCTTCCTTTAGAGTGACAAGCATAATTGCGCGCCAGTTCTACTAAAGGCAGTAGGCTGCTTCAGCGATGTGTGAAAATTCCAGGGCAGATTCACGTTGGGTGATGCTTACAAGAACAAAGACATGGCAAATTAATTATGTTCAGCAATAATTTGGTCAGTGGTTTGTACGAAAAAGTCTGCTGCCAAGCTGAAACAACGCGGAAAAATATACGATCCACTAATTAGTATAAACGACCCCGAAATTTTCATCAGTCATCTGCTGAATTAAGCCAACTCTATTCACGAAATATGCATACTAAATGTTATCCTCACCACTGAAAAAAGTTAGCGATATTTTTTTATTGTTACCAAATCTTTTATTAATATCTATATTATCATTATTCGTAATTTGATTGTTATCGATATTTTTACTGTCATTAATATACCTTAACGTTTTCAATATTTTTTTCCGAACCGATTTTTTATCATTATCGATATTTTTTGTCTGTTATATTGGTATTTTGAATGCGGTTTTTTTATTTTTATAGGGCTTTGTAGATGTATTCATCGATTAATCGTTATCAATATTTTTTATTACTATCGATATTTATATTTATTGATATTTCTTAGAGTTTGAAATATTTTTTCCTTACCGATTTTTCATCGTTATCGGTATTTTTATCGTTATCAATATTTTTACCATTCTTTATACATTTATCGTTATCGCTATTTATTATCGACATTTGTTAATGCATTTATCAGTAGATTTATCGTTATCAATATTTTGTATTGCTATCTATGTTTTTATCTTGTGATCTGATGGGCTAGAGTATATCCAAAAATAGTGTACCTTCCTGAATAATATACATATATCTACTACTGTTAGGAAAGGGGTAGCAGTCTGATCAAAATTTACTTTACCCACTGAAAGCCGACTTTCCATCATCATTAGTTCCATATAAGCACCTGAGCGTAAGCACAGACACCACGCCAGATAGAATTATAAAAGCGAAATAAGGAAAGCATCGAAATATTCAAGTTGAGCTAGAAAGCAAGATAAAAATGTCCTAGTGTAGAAGTGAAACGGGTCCTCTGGAAACTGGTTTGAAATCAATATTTAATATTTGGCTTACAGTAGTATTTTGGAAAAAGACTGTGTCGCCTAAAACCACACAAACTTGTAACTACCATCACACTTTGGAGCATCCCTAATACATACGTTGTTCTGAGCTTATAACATTTTTATTTCTAGTAATACTAAATTACGCAAATGTACACTAAATAATTTAATAAAAAAGTATCATAAAATTTCCATACGTACTTGTTCAACGAATTCAGTGGTCGGCTACCAGAACGGCCTAATGTAATGGCGGCCTCCATTTCCATACCAAGATCAACGATTCGCGCCATTTGTAAGCCGATATCGAGATAAGTTATCACAGCAGTTATATCGCCTGGTTTAAAACGAAAAATTATTAAATATTACATATATTACTAAGAATTTGTATTGAAAATCTGAAGACAATTAAGTATGTTTTATTTTAACAATTTTTTCAAATTTCTTTATATTTATTTATTTTTTTTCACTCTAAAAAAAAACTTATTCTTCAATACAGAATTCTAGTAACAGTCATCTATTTAATAATATGCTCAGACAGCAAGGTAAATTGAGCGATTAGGAAATTGTATAAATTTTGCATTTAATTATGCTTTATTCACTCTATTCTATATTTTCATACCTATACTACTCATGGCATCGTGCACTTCTTTGAATTAAAAAAAAATTAATTTTTTTTTGAATTTACCGAAAGATTTGCCCCGAAAATTACTGTTTTTTTACATTATTCATTTGTTCAACTCAACTAATGATGAAACCGCAAAAAAGTCGTCAAAAATTTCACAAACATCAAATTTGAGGTTAAATTTTTAATTGAAAAAATTAAGAAAAAAATTTTAACAACAAATCTAAAATCTCAAACGAATGCTGGAAATCAAATCATTTAACAGAAAGCGGGGAGTTGAAACCAAAATCCACCCACAAAATTAAAATTGTTAGCAAAAATTTAAATTTGCTTAATTTTTAGCCAGAGCTAGTTGAAAACTTTTAAACAGAAAACAAGGATTCGAGACTAAAATCCAAACCACAAAATTAAAATCATTAGGTAACAAAAATTTAAATTTGCTAGATTTGTGGCCAGCGTTAGTTAAGGAGCTCCAAAAATGTTATAAAAGCCTTTCAGGCGTCAATTTCCAAATGAGTAAGCCAAGTCTTTAATGTTTCAGCATCAAAAACGTCAACTCAATTTAAAATTTAATTAACTCAATTTAACTAACCGTTTGAACATGACATAAATCTCACTCACACTTCCCTTCATTTCATATGTATGTATGTAGGTACTCACGTTTTTGGTCTTTAATTTGCATCTTCTCCAAAGTGTTGACTTGTTTATCATTATAGATGATCACCGCTACCGCGCCATGATCGCACACGTGCTTTACCTTCTCCTCAAAAGTGCAACGACCACGCCTCACCAATGCAATCCACTGTCGATGCGGAAATGCTGTGCCATTTGTGCCCAATATGTGCGGAGAGCAGGCGGTATCGTCCGTCACATTGCCCACGGCGCTAACGTGTACAAGTATACCTTGCCGATTGGCCACTAGACCCTCACCATAACGCGCCTTCTCCTCCGGAAATGAGACACGCTCCTCCATGCCATACTCATTGCGATAGGTGTAATTGAGAAAGGCATAATTGTAGAAATCTATAAGTATACGATCTTCGGTGGCGAGTATTTGTGTAGCGTTAGTGTTGCGAAAATAACGATCGAGATCCTGATTGGCGATGGACATAGCTGCCACAAATGTGGTGGTGGTGGTGGTGGAGGTCAAGCGTAGACCGCCGAGTAGAAGTAGACATGCGAGCAGCAATAATTCTTTGGAACACATTTTCGTTTGAGCTGCTATGGATGATGGCTGCTTTTCGATTGCTATTTGTTATTTTGAGGGGTTCTGCTACTTTACGATTGCTACACACAAACTACGTTGCAGGTTTACACTTTTTCCTTTCTTTGCTATACAATATTTTGCTACGTTTCTAGTATTTTCGCTGCGCTCGCGCTCACTGATAATCTTCGTTTAAACATTTGGTTAAAATCGTTTTTCATGCGCCGACACTTTTTGCTTTTTACGTTGACGAAATTTACATTTTACGTTCTAAAGTTATGCACCGAATTGTTCGTTCTCGTCGAAACACCGCTCCCCATCAAAGGCCGAAAGCGAACTGTAATGAGAAATTAGAATTATATTATCATTTGGGCCAAACGCGTATGTATGTACGTGCGCTACTTTGTAATGTTAAATAATTTTTTTTTTTTATCATAAAACGATCAGTCTACTGTTGTGTTGTATAGCATTTTGTTGTTTGTTTTATTTGTTATTTTTTTTGCAGTTCGTGCTGATAAGATTTCAATTTTGCTACACACATTTTTTACCTCATTGTTGGTACTAATTTGATTCGCATGATTTTGCGGCGATTGATTAAAAAAAAAAATCTAGAAAAAATTGCATTTTCGATATACTGTAAATTTGAAGCAAAATGTATTCGTAGACATATTATTTTCTATAACAGACCTTCTAATGTTCAAGCTCAGCATTAAAATAACTTGCAAATATAGTAAGCTTATTCAGTTGGAAAAATTTCTGTAAAAAAATCGTCTTGAATTTAACAACAACTGGTATTAAAAGAATTGTCATATACATAAGTATTAACAGCAATTTCAGAGAATATCAGAAAAAATTTTAAGCAATTTTTAAAATGACTTTTGGCGCGCTAGAATTGCTGCTCATCCCAGAGTGCGGCACCCCTCGGCGGCATCATCAGATATTAACCGATTTCAGAATAAAAATACGGTGTTTCTTTTCAAGTTCTCTATGATTGTGGAGGGGGAACAGGGGAACTCCAAGATGATAATTTTCCTGTGTATTTTTGGACCACCCTAATATAGTACATGTATGCATGTATTCCTGCACAAAAAGCTTTATTGCTGATAAACCAAAATGTTGACAGCTCACTGCGATTACAAAGCGAATATAAAATGTAATCATTTCATTTGCCGTTGTATTCCCTTTGTGTGGATTTTCACTTTTTTTATTATTTCTAAAGTTGGTAAATAAACGTGCGCCAACAGCGTCAACTCCAACAACACACAGTGTGGGCTATAAATTTATGATGACTGCATGCAGCATACAATGCTCGTCCTTTTTTATTATTGTTATTTAAGTTGAAATGACTTTTTTATTTGTAAAAATATGTGCATACATATCTGTGTTGCATTCAAGCTGCATAGTAACTCACTGAAATTATGATGCAGCTTAAAATTGCTCAGCAGGCGACAATCGGCTGATTGCCTTCGGCTCTATTTCGCCCACAGCAATGCATTCACTTCGGAGTGGTTGGTTGTATTTAATTTTATTTTAATTTTGTTTACTGCTTTATATATATTTTTTTTCTTGGTTGTAGTTGCGGCTTTGCTCTTGTGATTTCACCTACCTCTCCTTTGCGTTCTGTTGCTTCTTCTTGTTTTCGTCGAGGCTGGACGATAGGCGCATTAAAATGCATGCGCTCAATGCGACAAGGCTGCTATATTCATATGTATGTATAATTATGTATATATGTGTATATGTATGTGTGCATATGTCCACTTTTGAAAACACAACAAGTAGGCCGTTTTGCCATTTTCAACGCTTATTTTTTGTTGCTGCTCTTACATTATTTTCAATGTCAAATGTCGTAGCAAGGCAAAGTATGCAATTTGCTGCAATTAAAAAAACGCAATACGCGCGTAATTTCATTATTTTATGGGGAGACAAGAATTTAAGTAATTTAAAACGTTTTTAATAAAATGTATTTTTTTGGTTTCATTCATTTCTTAATTCGTTACATTCGCCTTCAGCTTCTGATACCCTCAACAGGTAGAAACAAAAAATTATTTAAATAAATACAAGGATTTGTAATTCAGCGCCACTTCCTCACTCAGATCAATTGACAACTCTGGTTAAAAACACCTCTCTGGATTGAGTAAGTTATTATATGGCAATGAAAATTTGTATGGCGAAATATTTCAAATTCCGAATGAAAGCTCTATGTTCAAAGGACAAAATCTTCCAAACTTTTTTTATTCCGAGGTAAAAAGTTTTGTTTTTTTTACTGAAAACGTGTTTAATATGACTAGGACTGTCAGTTACTGTCGAAATTCTACCGTTTTTCTAGTTTTTTAAGAGCCTTGGAGAGATTTTCTTACTTAGCACGTCGTTAAACTTATACGATACAAAATAACTTGCCGGAGAATATCCTGCTATGGTAGTAAAACGTGGCTATAATTTTTTATATATTTGAAGGTCCGATGCATTCCAGATTTTCGATAAATTATTATATAGCGATAACTTAATGAATTTAAAAAACACAAAAAAATCCGTTAACTCAAAAAAAATTCGATAACCCAACTAATTTCGATAATTTTGGATAAATTAGAGTTATATTATAGAGACCAGGTATGTATCTTGTGCTCCCTAGTGAAGAGCATAAAGTCCGTATTTTCAGGATTCACTCCCAGTCCTCACCTCTTACACCACAGGGATATTTTGTTGAGGTATCTGTGAATGAGATAACTATTATAACATCGTCCGCGTATGTAATTTTCTACGTTCCACAGGATTACTCTCCCCTAGGACATACCATTGACTGGGAACCTTTGAACTACTTTTTCACCTAATTCTGCGCTTATTTACCGTCCGATTAGAATTCTTCCAATAAACGAGGTTAGTGAATTGCTTACTCTCAGATTTTACAGGGATGATATAATCTCTGCAGGAAATACAGGCAGCTGGGAGGATTTAAAATTTTTTTCTTCGTTATGAAACCGTTAGTCACTATTGAATTCAATATTCTACGCAAAATTCAGCAATTATGGAGATACTGAAAAATCGATTAGACCAAAAGTGTTTTCGACGTGCCCATTTTAGCTTGTCCTAGTTGCTAAAATTTCAGCTATACGTAAAAGTATGCCAAGAATTTGTGCTTTTTTCACAGCTGTGGCCCAATTAGGAATCGTTTTTTTTTTTTTTTTTTTGGGTAAACAAGCTACTTAGATGCTTTCATTAATACCTCGCCCAAAAAAAAAAAAAAATAAGTCAAACAGAAAAGTCGACCCTCAAACTAATGAATTAAACTGTCGCCACTGTCGAACGCCACTTGATTAACCTTTTTCGATAAATTAAATATCAAATAACAAATGTATATTTGCTATCATAAATTTATTAGACGGCTGCATTGCGGCTTTAACATACAAATGCCTAACAACATAAATATCTACATATATGTATGGATACTAGGGTGGTCCAAAAATGCATGGGGAAAAAGTAAAGTCGGAATTGTTATGCTCTCGCCACCTAGGATTGTTCTATACCACAAAAATATATATTTAGAGGTCGCTCAAAGTTTGTATTTGAAAAAAAAAAACTTTTCGTAGAAATCGTATTAAATTCTTGAAAATCTTTGTTTTTTGTTATTTTTATGGCCTTATAACAATTAAATTCAACAATTTTTATGAGCTCGAGGCCGTATTAAATGCAAACTTATTGTGGAAAAGCAACAATAATTTGAAAAAATGGTAGAAGTGATAGCTATTTCAATATCAAAATCAATATTTTCCGATCGGAAAACTCTGCTTCTCTTCTGGAGATTCCCTATAACAATAACAAATTTTTTATTTAACCATTTTTTCATAGTAGCTATATTTTATAGGTCAAAACCCCCACAAAATTCAATGGGGGGATAAATAAAAAGTCTTAAGTGTTAAAAAATGGTTAAATAATTAATTGGGTAATATTAAGGAAAGTATCCTGAAGATAACCAGAGTTTTCCGATCGAAAAATATTTATTATTAAAAATTCTATAGAATTTCTATGAAAAGCTCTTTTCCTCATATAACATACATGGAAAACTTTGAACGCTTTGAGCGACCTATAAATATTTTTTGATTTCAAAATAAAAAAATAGGATATATTTTTTCGATATAGATCAATCCTAGGGGGTGAGAGCATTAAAATGCCGACTTTACTTATTTTAAACCAACCTAATGTATACTCAGCTGCATAACTACATAATCTAAGTTTCAAATCTCTGCGGCTATGCGTTTTGTTTTGTTATGTGTACGTATGCACATACTTATGTACGCCTCACGCTGCCAGTCGCTTCAAGTGATCAGCGTTCAGTGATCATTTCCCATACAAGGTGTTAGTATCTATTTACTTAGCATTTAAATCACGTTTTTTCCATAATTTACATTCACGTTTTGATTGTTCATACATACAAATGAATATTTTTATGCGTTTGTCTGCTTACTTATGCGTTTCGTTAGCTTATTTTTTCCCTTTTTTGTTATGTGTATCCCCCTATCTTTCCTCGTCTCTTTTGTATAGACTAGGGAATCAGGTATTAATTTAATGTTCACTGCATCACTGCCGGCATTGGATAGTATTTTATCTCTTCTTTTATTGCTTATTTTCAATATTCATATTTGTTATTGTGCATTTAAAAATTATTAAAAACGCGTTTGTGCATATGTATGCCTATATTTATGCCTAGATAGTTATGTTCGTTGTCATTACAAGAAATACTAAATGACACTGGCGCTCGTCGTTATACAGGGCTGAGAATATATTCTGCTTACTGATTGCTTTCCTTAAAAGTCGACTAAAATTCACTGGTGTGAGTGACCTGATTGACATTGTGTAAATGGCAGTTAGTCGAGATAGGTCTCTCCTCTTCAGTTTGATGAGAAATACAGTTCGTTTAGCGCAGTAGGTGGGCCACAGACTCCTGCAGACCCTAAAGGATTGTAGGTATTTTCACCTATGTTATATTGCCGACCTTTTTCCAGAGCTGAGAGATGCGGCTCTTGATATACATAGCTCAGAGGCACAATGACCTCCACTGCCTCTGAGACATCCCGAGCTGACCCATACCTGGCAAGCTCTTTGAAAGAGTAAAATATATGTCCAAGCTCGTACCCACGCTCTATCCAAAGTCTAAGTTCCCTCAGCCTCAGGGCATTCTGTAAAGCATTTCCCTTAATAAAAAGATCAATCGGTAGCCTAAGAATGATATCTAATCGTAATGCAGGCTGACCTTTGTACCCTGCCTAATATTGTGTGTATATAGTTCATCTCTACAGCTCTCCATCAAACCGTCGAACTGTATGTAATAATTGGGCGAATCACCGCTTTGTACAT